AATATAAAATGTAATGTAATGTAATATAATAAAATTTATTTAAATTTTATTATTCTTAAATAAATTTTCTAAACAAATATTTAAAATAACTTGATATATTAAAATAAATATATATATTTACTTATAATATAAATTTATAATATAAATATAATATTGTAAATTATTATATTTAANTATTCAATAAAGAGATAAATAGTTATAAAAAATACAAAATTTAAATAGTAATAAATTTAAATTTAAATAGTAATAATAAATAATAAATTTTCAAAAATAAAAAAAAAAATCAGAAATTTTTATTATATATTATTTCGTTTAAATTAAAAATAATAGCAAAAAAAAATTATCATTATTACATAATGAATTGATTAATATAACTATTAATAATAAACTATTTATATATAAAGTAAATGCGAATATAATTATTATAAATATTATCATAATAATAATTAGAAACTTACGCCATTTTGCCGCTGTTGTATTCGATTATGGAAATATCCTCTTCTTAAAGGTCGTTGGCCTTTATAAGATGAATGAGATATATGTATTATATCTGAAATATTCTTCTGTGGTGGGGGCTGTTTTTTATTATGCACAGTGTCTTTCGTTCTTAATGATTGAAGAGCTGCAAGTCGCAATGCTTCTAAATCTTCATCATCTTCATCATCATTTTTTGTATTTTGTTGAGTATTGTTTGGTATAACAATCTATAAGAAATAATACAAATAATAATTTTAATATAATATTTAATGATTAAAATTTGTCAATAATAAACATTAATTACATAAATTTTACAATCATTGTAAATATTACATATAATACATAACTATATATATATATAATATATATATATATATATATTAGATGCCAAAATTGTTTATTTTGTAAGTTGATAAATTATTTTACAATTTTCTAAATTTCCAAAATTATAATGTAAAATACTTTTAATATATTTATTTTTTTTCATAAAATAAACAAGATATGTGTTCGCGCGCGCGCGCGCGCGTGTATGTGTATACATATGCGTATATATTTATACATGCATTTATATATTAACAAAATTTAATAATTAATGATATAAAATATGAAAAATTGTCATGCACTATCAATTTTTAAACAATTTTGAAGTAAAGTTTTACATATAGTTTATGACAGCATTATACATATTATCGGAATATGAATAATTATATATCATATTAATAATTGAATAATATATTATTTTGATTTATTAATCTTTATAATAAGTTTATAATTACCTTCTGACGATAATCCATTTTACCCGAATTGTAATTGTAGAAAAATCTGTAGTTAACACCAATAATACGAAGGTCCAGCAATTGCATTAATAACTTTATATGCTTGGTGATAATATAATTTTATCTTATGTATAATCACAATTTATATTACAATTACATCGCATAATCAAGTTCCATTCCAAGATCAATTTTTTGATAATTATAAATCCCATATACAATGTTGCACACTTTGTTACCCCCCACCACATATAAATAAAAATGGCGTGAGCGCTCATAAAAGGTCTTCGATGTACAGTCTAATATATGATGTACAACTAGTTGTATATTTTATAGTTCATATTAAATTCATTTTCATTATACTTGTGACATGTTTTCATAAAAAATATTATTTATAAAATAATAAAACAGTTAATATTACTTAAATTAAAAAATTATATTTATTATATAATTATAAAATAACTATTTTAATAATATTTAATTTTTATGGTGATATATTATTTCATTTCATAAAAATTAACTTTCATCTAAAATATTTTTAATTATAAAAGATATGAAAAAGTTTTAAAAATTAATTTTTAAATTAAATCACTAAATTAAACTATTCGATTACAATATAACACAATCGATTTAAAATACAAGTTAGTAATAAATGTAATAATAAATTTTATTACATGAAAAAAGTAATTTATTATTAATAATTATAAATATAATTATAAATATTAATCATATTTTTCGCAATTTTGTTTTTTTTTGTTAATAATATATTTATTTTTTGTTTTTATACTAATTAAAAGACACTAACTTTTATACTAACTAAAAGACACTAATTAAAAGACACTAATTAAACATTAATAAAATTACATTGCAACTTTTATAAAATATATTATATGTAAATTAATAATATATAAATGTATATAATGTATGTATGTAATACATAAATAATATAATAATAAATTTGTAATTATAAGTTTATTTTTTACTTATTAATTTTGTATTGTATTTTTTTAAATAACGTAATATTTTAATATTAATGGATAATTTTTTTATATTTTAAGATTTTAAAATTTTGATAATATTTAAAATAATTTTGATAGTCTTTTCAACTTATGGATATATTCTTAATTTATATTATAAGAAATATAATATTAAATATTTATTATTTTTAATATTAGTAAATATATAATAATTTATTTTACAATAAAATATAA